GAGAATTTTGAGCTTCCTTCCAAACTGCGTCTTGACTAGCTCAACATATTCCTTCAGTTTCTAGAGCGCTTCAGACTTCTTCGGTAGCAAATAAACGACCGTGTACTTACTGTAGTCGTCGATGAATGTGATGAAATATCGTCTTCCGCCCAGAGTCGCCGTCCTCATTGGTCCACCCTCACGCCGATGACCAAGGTCTGCAATTTCAACACCGCTTCGCAGTCCCTGTGTCCCAATCGTCTGTGCCACGTATGCACGCAGTCATCGTTCGTCATCACCATGGATACGTTTTCGGTTGATTGACGAATTATGAACAAGTTACCAACGGACTCCGCCATAGCACATATCTTTTCACCTTTCATGATTCTCGCTCCAGTTGCGTCTAATGTGACGACGAATCCTTTCTGCACCAGCCGCTTCACGGATAGCAAACTTGACTTCACTTCAGGAACATACAAAGCGCTTTCTATTGGAACTTCACGTAGTCGACCAGAACCATCTAGCACATTTATTCACCCAGCACTTCGACCTTTCGAACGTACCTTCGTCCCGTTGGCGACCCAAACGTCCTCAGTAGCTGCATCATCCAAATCCTCGAAGAAGTTCCGGTAATTTGCAATGTGGCAGGTTGCACCGGAATCCAAAATCCATTGGTCTTCCACTTGACTATTGCATCCAGTGAGAAACGCGTAGCTATCATCATCATCTTACTGCGATACGTGGTTGGCTTTCTGTTGCTTGGATACTGCCTTTCGGTGCTTGGATACAGCTCCGTTTCCTTTCTTCGCCTTCCATACTCTGAACTTTTCGCAATTTACCTTCTGCTGACCTAACTTTTTGCAGAAGAAGCACCTGTCTTTTTCGGCCTTTGAACTTGCATAGAGAACAGCTTCAGGATTATCGCTATCCTCGTTGCGCTGCTTCCTTTTCTGCCATTCATCGATGAGCTTGCGCTTCACCATATCCAGGGTCAAATCATTCTCTGGTCGAGCTTCAAGGGCGGTTACCAACGTCTCGTACTCCTCCGGCAGACTGCTGAACAAAATCGCGACCAACCATTGGTCGTCAAGGATCTATTCCGGCTGTAAATTGTTGAGCTTCTCGAACATTTCCGACAACTTCGATACGTGCGCTTCCATATCTCCATGTTTTTCAAGGCGTTGACTACAAATTTTCCGCATCACAGAGACCTTCGTCGTTAACGTTTTCTAGAGCTTTCCACGCCTCCGCCGCCGATTTGGCCTTCCTTATGTGGATTAATTGGTTATCCTCCACGGCCAATCCAATCGATGCCAGCGCTTGATCATCCTTGGTCTTCCACGCACTTGTAACCGCTTCTGGCCTTGCGTCCGCTATGGTCGTCCAATTTCCTTCCTTGGTCAGCAACAGCTTCATCCGGAAACTCCAGTTATCGTAATTGGATCCATTGAGCCTTGAAAACGACATCAGCTTGTCCGCCATCTCGTTACGAATTCAAATTCTATCTTCACCAGTTCCGATTGCACTGCCTGGGCCCATAACCTATCGGCAGAAGTGGGAACAATCGGACTGGACTCGAAATACTATTCGAACTACAATTGAAAGGAACGTCTTTATTTGTCAGTAGTATAATTTGAACTGCAGAAAATGAAGTTATGCAACGCAAGGCATACTGCGTTGTATATACTCAACCCTTGCCACCCTTGCGCCGTGTCTTCGTCGACCGAATCGTCGGGGGTTGAAAAATTTCCGAATACATTACCCTCTTAGGAACACGTTGTTGTGATGGCGACGGTTGCTTCGGATGGTTTGCGATGTACAGCGTATCGGCAATCGGATCCCAGAGTAAGCCACCCCCGCTTTCGTCGAACGGTACCCTTTTCTACTGGTCTTCCCACGGAAATGCGTTCGAGAAATTCTTGGGAGTTCGAGCACCATTTATGTATCGGAAAACCACCACTTCGTAAGAGCTGATTCAATTGTTGTTAGGCTTCGATTGCGTCTTCCAACTAGTCTGCGCCGGACAGCAAATCGTCCATGTCCGTCTTCTCCTTTACGATGCGAGTGGCGATGGGGAAAAAACTCACCTTCTTCCTCGACGAGCTGTACCAGGCCCCTCGTTGCGAGGTATGAAGCAGATGCTGTACCGTAGGTAACGGTACACAGTTCTAGTTCTAGTACCCGTAGCTTTTGCGACGGATGTGGTCTTCAGAAAATGAAGCGCTTGCAGTACCTGCCGGTACATCTTGGCAACGTCTCCGGAAAAGGCGATCTTGACCTTACGGAAGCGTAGGACGATGAAATGCAGATCATTCTGCACCACAGGACCAACTTGCAGGACTTCGTTCAGGGACAGCTTTTCAGACGACGACTTGGCACTAGCATCGAACACGACACGACATTTACTGCGCGTGTAATTCGGGATTATTCACCAGTCGTTTCTCCAGCATCAGGAACCTCTTCAGATCTAAAGCACGGCAATCGTCCAACTGCGAAGAATTCTCGTTAGACGGCAAGCTCACGATAAATCTTCCGGTCCGGACGCGTCACGTTGGTATGTGGACAGAAAGGGTGCTTCGCATACCATCTACTCGGTTGATAGCTTGGATACGTCCGGCAGTTCCTCGATATGCCAGAACTTGTGCATTATTCGCTCGATGTCTTTAAGAGAAGCGTGGATGGTCTGCTGAATGGATAAGTTGGAAATATGTGGCTCGACGATGACACCAGATACGATCCACCCAAGGTGAGTGTGTGGCAGGTTGTCCGCCAGGTTGAGTTGGCTTGGCTTCAGGATATCAAAAAACAGCTCTGCACCGATCAACAGGTCCACCTTGTCCGGCGTGTGGAACTCGGGATCGGCCAGAACCACTCCATAGGGAATGTCCCAACTGTTGATGTTGATCTCCGACGATTGGAATTGTGCCCGTTACTTTCGACGTCACTAGGCATTCGAAGCTGGATCCTCGGGACTCTAATTTCAGCGTCACTTTGCCACGGGCGAGGGTGCGCAACGCGTTGATACCGGTGATCGGAACGTTGGCTGGCTTCTGCGGCAGGCCCAGGCGATTGGCCATGTCTTCGGTCACGAAATTCACCTGGAAGCCGCTGTCCAGCAGTTGGTGGTGGCCATTGTTGACTGCGGGTCTAATAATGTTCTAGCCAAGTCAGGAATACCTCAAGGAAGTCATCTGGGACAAATGATCGTCTAACTCTACTTCAATGACGTGAATTTTGGTTATCGAAGGTCCACGACTATCGTATGGAGATGATCTTAAAATCTACTTGCGGATCTGCTCGCTTGATGATTGTCACTTCCTTCAACGTCAGTTTGAAGCCTTTGCCAGTTGGCGCAATTTGAGCCGAATGACGGTTAACCCAACGAAGTGTTCAGTGATCACTTTTACCCGAAAGAAGGAACCGGTCATATTTGACTATGATCTGGGAGTCATTTAGTTTCTCGACTTACGCACAAGCAACACATTTCGTACATTGTTGACAAGGCGTCAAGGACATTGGGCTTTATCGTCAGGATTGTCACATCTATTGCCTCAAGTCACTGTACTGTTCCTTGGGGCGATCCATTCTGGAATACTGTTCTGTGGTCTGGAGTCCATACTACAACAATTCAGCGACGTTTTCTTCAATTCACTTTGAGGAAGCTGCCTTTGAGAGACCGGTTTCACTGGCCTAGCTATGAAAGTCGCTGCCAGTTGATTGATCTGGAGCATCTCCTAGAAGAAATACTTCAAGGACCCTGCTCATCGCGGACAGCTTTGGTGAACAATTACTTCTCTAGATGATATCTAGACATTTAAGGCTAAGAAAATATTCAAGATTCTAAGCAAAATAATCAAGAAATCAGAATTAGAATATTTTAACAGAATTCAAATAAAAATATATATTTTAAGGTTCCAATCAAATTCCCAGTTATTTCCCGGTTCAGTGACCACCCTGATGTCATCCAAAATTACACCATTTTTGCTTTGAATCGTATAATTTATGTGGATCTATACAATATCTTGCAAAACCAAAAAATTTCCACTCCGTTCAAGTTCAACCGACTTCATCTAATTCCCATCCCCTTCCATGCGCTGTTCCTGCTGGTGCTGCCTCTTATGGTGCTTCAGCAGGTACCGCTTTTGCTTGAAAATCGCCTCGCACACCGTACACTGGAACGCCACATCGGATGCGTGACATTTCCTATGCCGAGCCAGGTTGTGCGACGACCGGAAGCTCTGTCCACACTCGTCGCACGCATAGGCCCTCTCATCCGAGTGGGTCGTTTGGTGAAGCTGCAGCTTCGAACGGGTGTAGAAACTCCTCGAACAGACCGAACATTTGTAGCTGCGATTGGTTTCGTGAGTCCGCTTGTGGATATGCAGCGAAGCCTTCTGGTTGTAGGAATTTCCGCAAATGTCGCAACTGTACGGCTTCTCATTCGTGTGCAGGAAGCGATGTTCCTTCAGATTCCTACCGTTCCCGAAGCATTTGCCGCAGATATCGCAGGAATAGTTGCGCACCTTTTCGTGCACTTCGCGCACGTGCCGTGCCAGTCCTTGCGATATTCGAAATGACTGCGAACAATGAGGACACTGGAATGGGCGTTCACCACTGTGAATCCTCAGATGAGCTTGATAGGTATACGGAGAAGCCATTTTCTTCCCACATTCGGCGCACTTGTAAGTAGCCTTCCCATCTACGAGGACTTTGCCCTGCTCAACGATTTCCCTCGAAAGAGGAACGGTTTGAGCCCGACCCAGGGCCGACGATTGCGGCAGTTCGACTTCGTCTTCTTCAGATTGTTCATCCAGAAACTGATATTCCCCGCAGAGATCATCCTCGTGATTCAACCGTTGAAAGCTCACAACTTGGATGGAGTGCCGAAGAAGCTCCCTGCAACGAATACAGCACCCAGTTAGTACTTATCTTACATGTAGAGATACTCGGCACTCCATCACACGGCTGTGGCTCAACCCAAATCTACACTTAACTACAAAAATCTCGAAAAGCTTACTCACCCATGCTTCTCCGGTGAATCCCCCTGCGCTTCTTCCTGCTTCAAATCTCGCTTGCTCTCCTTCGCCTTCTTGCAAACTGGCGCTTCCTCTTCCACCTCAACCTCCACCTCCTTCTCCAGCACCTCTTCCTCCGTCACCAGCTTAGTTTCCTTTTCCTCCTCCTCCTCCTCTTCCTCATCCGCTTCTTCCTCCTCGGCCACCACCGCCACAGCATCCTTCAGCTCCTCAGCCGAGCTCATCATCGTCCGGAACTTCTCGTCCGTCCGGTGACACTTTTCGTACAGCTCATGAAACCGATCCAACGTCTCGCGGCACCCGTCGCAAACCTTCGTCGGCAGACAATCCTCCGCCAGGATGTCGATCTGCAGATACTTGCCGATGCGTTCCCGCAGCCGGTCGGCAGCTCGCTTTCCGAACACCGAAGTTAAATTTTCCCCCAGGGCGCCACATATCCGGCACAGCGCCTGGAAGTCTATCTCAACCATCTTGATACTGTCCGGCTGATCGTCCGACGCTAGACGGCAGATGTCCATCATTGTGTTGTTTCTTTCGATTGGGATTCCGCTCCTTCCTTCCGACACTTTCAACTGGGGGAGGGGGGATGGATTTTCACCGGAAGGAACCTCCTATGGCAAAAACAGTAGTTTCCCCGCGTGCCCTAGCGGCTCATGACGCCGTTGGAGGTGGAATTTTTTGGAATGGTTTTCACTTTATGGCAATAATTTGTGCAAAATTCGGGAGGAAAAACTTTCTTCGACTACACTTTTTTGTTTAGGTTTTCATTTTTTCTTGACTTTTTTTTTCCACTACTTTTCTTCTCGTCTTTTGCACGTCTACTTTGCGCACAGGTGCGAGACAGACGCCGAACAAAGCGGAACGTCAAAACCGCGGGAGCAGTGTTGCCGGTCTTGATCGGAGAGAGTTTCTTTTTTTATTTGCACTGAAAAAAGAAACATCGGGAGACTCAAATCAGGAACAAAATTTGTTATTCTTTTTCAAAAGGGCCCGTAAAAAAACATAGAAGCGCAATGAAATGTATTGTAAACATACAATAGAATTTATTGTACAGTATCCTCCCACTAAAACAACAAAATCATTACCGGACTATCGAGTCTAGATTGATTGTTGAGCGTTTTAGTGGAATAATTGTATAGCCTGAACTCGTTAAGGCCGGCGCACAATAGATACGTTTTCGGGTTTTTTGACAGATAATGCATGGGCTAACTGTCAAAAAACCCGAAAACGTATCTATTGTGAGCCAGCCTTTAGTTGGGTCATGACTGCGCCTCAACCTAGGGGCAAGACGGCTGTACTCAGAGTTAATATTTCCACAGCGAGTAAATTTGAGTAACACATAATTAATCAAAAGTGATCAAAGCAGTCTCATATTCATCCATAAATTAAAAATTAAATCAGTATAAATATACATTATCTGTCAGAGTGTCAAATTGATCCTATCCGTATTTTATTTTCTATTGTTGCATCAAATCAAGCGTAACTATTCAAATCGACACATTTGATTTTGTAAACAATCACTTCAATCGACGATTTGTGGTAACTGCTAGCTCACTTACAGAAACTAATAACACCAGCTAGTAGGGTAAAGAATCTTCTACTTGATGATGGTGTTTGTTTGTGTGGGTGAGTGAGCAGTTAAGACAAATTTCCGATTTCAGTGATTATTTACAAAATCAGATACGTTGATTTGAAAAGTTGTAACCCGTCAGCCTGACGAGCTTTCCGTTGAAAGTAAAATGGCTTAAGCGCCACTCCCGAGGGAGACCATTTACCAATTGTGAGATTGCCCGACCGTATGAGACCTTGCAGGATTAGGTTCCTATTTTTCCCAAATTTTGGGCGCAAAGCGAGTTGGCTGACTAGAGCTAGTCGATTAGAAAAAGTATGTCACAAATAGTGAAGCAAATGCAACTGAGGAGAAAATGCTGCCAATAAAACGCCCGGGCCAAGATTAACCAATGTGAGTGGTTATCATCACAGGCCAAGACTCTACTTTCACCCTGAGACAACCCGTGTTAGATTTGAAAGTTTTCCAGTTGGTTTCGGAGCCAACCTCTCCAGTAAAAACCTCAAAAGAGAAACAACTACAGCGGGAAAAAAATACCGGTGACATGAAAATCTTCCAAACAGATTCACTTCTATCTCATCAAGGCAGATATATAACAACCTTTTTTGGCAACGGCGCCGGTGGTGTAGTGGTAAGCGTGATTACCTCTCACCCCAGCAGGCCTGGGTTCAATCCCAGTCGGCGCCGCTGGGATGTTCTGAGGCATAACATCTCTGATCACGCCTTCCTTCGGATGGGAAGCAAAGCCGTTGGTCCCCGGTTCATGAGTTGATGGGTCGATAGGTAGGGTCCAGGTGTGGGAGCTGCCTTCCTGGCACGTTGGTAGCATTGGTGCTCAGCACGGAAAACAAGATCGACGGAAAAAACAAACCAAAGAAAAAAAAAAACCTTTTTTGGCATAACGAAATTACAGGACTTTATTTTATATTTGCCTATCCAAAACCAAAGAGAGCTTTATTCCATAATGTTTGTTGTCTAGTCTACTTACAGGCGCGAAAGTTCATGTTCTGTTCATTTTGTTTGCTTTGTCTACCTACTGCCTAATTGCCTCTGCCTTACCTGTCTATCGAGCGTGTGTGTGTTGGGTTATGTTCTGGTATGTTTCATCCTCCTGTGCATGTTCAAACGGCTCTCATTTGGGTTCAAGTGCAAACGGTTAGAATGTGTACGCCTCGCAAGACCGGAAAAGTGCTACAGGTTGCGGGCTCTCAAGTTTCAAGTCAACATGCGCATGGACGAAACATTTCACAAGGGATTCATTCAGTATTCACGGACCATTTATGCTGCAATACAGATGACGGCGATGCGGTGGATGAACGGAAGGGGTTGGCGGTGAATCATCCGGTGTCTTTTCTTCAGGTACAGGTGGAAAATGCTGCAGATGAACGCGTTGGTCGGTTTAGAAACTCCCGATGCTACTGACTCTATCTACGATGAAGGAAAAATAGTTTTTTGCTGTGGTTAGCTGCGCGCACGCTGAGTAGATAGTAAGAAGATTTACGACGATTCTGAAGATTTCTTGCAAAAAGATGATGCACGATGCAAGTAGATGCGAGAAATTAAAGAAGATTTTTCGAAGATTGATTAGCTAGTGTGAGATTTGTTGAGCACCTACAATTGAGATTTAGATGTGTCGTCCCCCTCGAAAGAACCTCATGTCACGTCTACCTTACTAAACACACCACGGCGCGAGGGGGGCCACTCTATCTAAGATGCAGGAAATTTATTTCTTTGCTGTAGTGAGATGCACTCGCCCTTAATAGATAGAAAAACGATTGATTGTGATTTTGAAGATTTCCTGCAAAAAGGTGGAGAGCGATGCGAGTAGATGGGTTTAGATGCGAGAGATGAAAAAAGATTTTCCGTAGATTGATTCGCTAGTGTGAGATTTTTGGACCATTTAAAATCGAGATTTAGATGTGTCGCACCCCTCGCCACGGCGCGAGATTACGGGTGGACTACTCCTGCCTCTTCCACTGATCAGTCCAAAGTGATCGACAAATTCTTGGGGATCCTCAGATTAAACGCATTATCGTACTCTTCGGCACCGGAAATCACGTAAATCTAACGAAGTTAGCAAGTTAGCACAATTTAATTATGCCAAGTGGTGGATATCTACTTCACTCTCAAATTCATTACCTACTAATAGAATTCACTCAACGACTGCGGTGATTATTTATGAGATTTATTTTAAATTCATGTTCCTAACAAATATTGATGAAAATTGAATTCAGAAATATGGTGCTCGTTACAAAGTTACGCTTGAAATACTCATTAATTCTAGAGTCGGTGTATAATGAGTCACGCCAAGAGTGAAGCCAAGTCTACCTATCGAACTGTCAAACCAGCTACCTACACTGTAACTGGCGAGTACCGGCTCATCTTTCACTGCTAGCGGATCTTTCAAAAAATCCTCTTGTTCATTATGGTCACTGTCATCCCAACAAACAATTTGTGTTGATTAAAGGCTGAATAAGCAATTTTACAGCTAAAAAAGCATATTTTTGCCTGAATAGGCTCTTATTCTGCTTCCAATGTTTGTTGGGATTCACTTCAGTATCTTCCAATTGTTCACTTGAATCTGGATTCACAGGTCCATTTACTGGCGCTTCAGCAGGTGGCTGCTTATCCAGCTGCTTGTCCGTTGACGGCTCTTCCAATAGGTTCAATTCCGGGTCACTTTCTTCTCGGACCGAGAGTACAGCAAGCTCCTCCTGTCATTGAGCATCGTCCACCTCCAAAAACTTGGCATCCCTGCTAATCGTTACTTTCTCCGTCGCTAGATCAACAAAACGATACGCTTTGTGTTGTTCTGAGTATCCTACGAAGGTTAATTTTCGGGCCTTACTATAGAACTTACCCCGTCGCACATCGGGTATGTGCACCCACGTCTTGCACCAATGCAGTCGCAATTGTCCCAAATTCGGCTTTCTACCAAACTACTTCTCGAAAGATGTAACTTCAACCGACAATAGATTCTGGAGGTACGCATCAGTCACAACTGCTTCTCCCCAGAACCAGAATCGGTTCCGCCTTTCGGCAACACCATTCTGCAGCGGAGTGAAAGCGGTCGTGTATAGGATATGAACTCAATCCCTTCACTTACGAAGAAATTCTGAAGTCGCTCATTAGTATATTCTCCACCACCATCTGATTTCACTATTCTATAGACTTCTATAGACTTCCGATTAAACATGGTTTCGACATACCTGACATATTTGACTAGGGTGAATTTGCTACAGAGAACTCCGAAAGGTTACCCCGACCGCAACATTCTCAAAGATTTGAGGCTATTTGGCATCAATATGCAGCAAGTATCGTTTGTTCGCCAAACTCGGTCGAAAACTCGAGCAACCCACGATGCAGCTACCAGGGGTTCTCAGCCACCTTCCAGTGACGGTGCACGGACACGGTCTCGCGATGACGAATCTACCGGGGAATTCCAACCTTCGGTGATTGACGTAGAACACGGTGAGGAATACGATTGTGTGGAATGTAAGCGGCCCAACAATGCCGAGTTATACATGGTACAGTGCGGGAAATGCAAGCACTGGTATCGTGCGGAAAGGTGGATATTGCTACAGTACGATCCCGTGATTTAATCTGTGTGAAGTGTGTACCGAAGGTCCCTCCACCCCCCGCTAGTTCGAGAACTGGCCGGTCTAGCATTTCAAGTTCTCGGCGTGCCTAGATGGCATGGGAACTGAAGAAGCGAAGGACGTTTACAGCTGGAAGAAGAGCACGAGGAAGAGTGGCTGCAAAAGGAAAAACTGCTGATCGAGAGGACGATGAACGAGAAGCTGCAACGAGAAAAAGAATATTTGGTACGGAAGCACGAGCTGCTGCGCCAACACGATGATGATTTGGCAAGCGTGCGAAGTGGACGAAGCAGTCGGAGCCAGACAAGCAGCCGACAGAAGGTGGAAGCGTGGTTCGAACAACAAATATCCACCCACGGTGACCCCGCTATCGACTCACACGCTACCCGATCAACACCACAAGAACAACGACAGATTCCATCAGACCATAGTAGTGGGCCTGTTGGATCGTCAACGCCCATCAACGAATTTCCCGAACGTAGTAACCAGCGGGTCCCAGCTGGAATTACGGAATTGATCCCTCGCACCACGGACAGTATTTCCATTGGGTACAGTCCGGGGATCGAAGACGATTTCGCGAAGGAACCATTCGGACAGCAACAACGGCATGCCGATAATCAAGCGAATGTCCCTCTTCTACCGTTAGTTAACATCCAGCCGTATGTTCGCTTTCTGGTTCAGAGTTCGCAGAACGCCCGACTTCCAAACCCGATAATTGTGGACAAACTTCCGAGTGTCGCAACGCAAGACAAACGAGACGCGGAGGCAGCATGTTCAAGATCAGCCGCGCCGTGATGAGATGGACGAATCCCAGTGTCAACAGCAGCGCGAGCAGAAGTTAATTCATTTACTGAGGCAATCCGAGGAACAGCGGGAGCGGGACAGGCAACGTAGGCAACAAATCGAAGCCATGCTGGAGAAACAGCACGACGTCGAAGCGAAATATCAAAAGGAGAATGATGTCCGGAGGAAGAGAGAACTGGATCTGGTGAACCGACTGAAGCTTTTCGAGCAACAGTACGCCCAAGAGCAAGCCAGGCGAACAGAAGAGAAGCAGTCATTCCTGGTAAAGGAGCAGCAGTTGATCGAGCGGTTGGAAGCTCTACGCCTGAATTACAGCATATCTGCAGTGGAACAGCGCTCAGCAGCGAAACAGCGGGCAAGCGTAGAAGAGCGTCAGGCGACGCAATAGCATTCTGCGGCGGACAATCATCACTCGGTGGTGAACATGTGCGCTTCAGCGGAACAACTTAGGAGCTCCCGATGGCCAACCCAGGAAGGCGTAGTCGTGAGTACAAACCCTCCAACGGCTTCAGATAGTGGTTCCCATTATGATCAAAATAAATCTAACCGAAACCTGCTCGATAACGATCGAAATAGATCGACACCTAGTCCAAGTGTCACTAGCCAGGATAGGATATTAGGAACACCGCCTAGAACGTTTGTACCATCTTTTATAGGGCCTCCTTTAGTAAATCCGTTAGGGCAGTCACAATTCGTACCGAATTCCGTGTATTTAAACCGATTCGCACCCGTTCAACACCAGTCGGTAATGCAGGGACCGACGCCTCAACAGTTGGCAGCGAGACAAGTTATCTCCTGAGAGCTTCCGGTGTTCAGTGGCGATCCCATCGAATGGCCACTTTTTATTAGTAGCTACAACCATTTCACCATGGCGTGCGGCTACACCGACTCAGAAAATCTGCTTCGTTTACAACGGTCGCTTAAAGCAGAGACGTTAAATAGAGACACGCATAGACTGAAGCAAGAAGAACCAAACGAACCGTCAAACACTGAACCAAACGAGCAAAGTAAATAAACATTACTGTTCGCTCAATTAACCAGAAAGGAGTATTGTTCTCAATGATGATAAAAGCGTTTAATTATTTTTTACGAAATATTTGATATCTGTTATTTATTTATTTATGCAATTAAATACAACATTTATTAGCGATAAAAAAAATCTAATCGGAACGAATCAAGCAAAACATCTCTCGTCTTCGCTTTATTTTTGCAAAATGTTGCCATGAGCGCGGCAGTTTCGGTCGAACGTTCAAATTTTCTTAACAGCATTGCGGCACTGTATGAAAGTCATTTGAAGCCGCTTGAAGAAACATGGTTGCCAGTGACATTGCCAAAAGATCCCTCAAAAACCGTGCTGCTGTTTCGACAGAAATTTTCATTGCGCGTCTCTATCAACGTCTCTGGCTTAAAGGACCCGCTAAGGAAGCCATCAGCAGTTTTCTTCTCCATCCATCCACCATGCCGCAAGTTCTGTTAACCCTGCACACGCTGTACGAAAGACCAGAGCAGATCGTGCACAACCTAGTCGCCAAAGTTCAAGGTATACCCGCTCCCAAAGCAGAAAGGTTGGAGACGTTGATCCATTTTGGTTTGGCGGTCCAAAACTTGTGTCGCCACCTGCAAGCTGTTGGAATGGACAACCACCTACACGGATAGAAATCTCCTTATACCTTTTGGCAAATTTCTATTGCTGATTATTCATAAAATGTATAAGTCAACTAATGAGCAGACGCCTTGCAAAAAGTTAATGAAGACCATGTGTCAAATGAAATGTATAAGCGGTCACACATACCTTTTATGCATTCTTGTAGGACCTATGTGGTTTGTCTTATCGAATGTATAAGGCTGATGCTTTGGCAAAAATGTATAAGGGAAACAGATGAATAAAATAATTGATTTTCGTTTCGTGTATCCAACCCCATCCTTCTACAAGAGCTCGTGGATAAACTGCCGGCTAACATCAAGTTCAACTGGGCGCTGCATCAAGAGAACCTGCCTGTGGTCAATTTGAAAGCGTTCAGCGAGTACATGAGGAAGGTGACAACCGCTACTAGTGGTGTTACGACCTTCTCCATCGCATCGAAGCTGGTGAAAGAAGAGAAACCCAGAATCAAGGAAAAGGCGTTCGTGAACGCTCATGTAGCCCAAGAACAGAAGGATCCAGGAGCAACTGACAATCTATCTGGGGATCGGCGAGGCCAGAACAAGAGCGCTAAAGGCAAAGGAGAAGAAACCAAAATTTGTCCAGCGTGCGGCGCGCACGGCCACACAGCTGCTAGCTGTGTAACTTTCAAGAAGCGTTCGATCGACGGTCGGTGGAATCTCGTCAAGGACAACAAACTCTGCCGCCGTTGTCTCGTATCGCACACTCGTTGGCCATGTGAAGGCGAGGTTTGCGGTATCAATAACTGTGAGAAATGCCATCATCGTCTTCTTCACTCGGAACCCACTAAGAAACAGCCAGTCATCGATGCCACTGTAACCATCCACCGTCAGCCCGTTTCTTCGAAGCTGTTCAAGGTACTGCCGGTGACATTGTACGGGAAAAACGGGTCGGTGAACACATTCTCACATACAGCAGCCAACTATTAGGCGACGGAACGTATAGCGCATTCTCGACCACTCCACCAGAGCCATTAATAGAACACACCTTCAATTACCACATCCAGCCGATTCAACAGAAGATCCATCAGCCAAAAAAAAAACTTCTTGTACATCCTTCTCATCGATCGATTGGACATATGAACGCTTGCTCCACTATCGATAATCCAGCTACTCCGTTGTATCCCATCGCTCAGGAACAAAACAGCACTCTTCTGTCCTTTGCCACAACTTGCTTCGCTGCAGCATGCCGGTGAATCACTCTTCTTGTTCTTATCGCCAGTCTGTTTCTACCAGGCCAGTGACAAGATCTATACTTACAGCAGCGTTTGACAGTAGGCAGCATGTCCCGGACTCAAATCGTTTATTTTGCTGTGCTCGGCTCGCTGTCACGGTATAACATGGGTTCTGCTGTTCTGATAACGCTGGGCAATCTGCTTACAAAACAAATCACAAACGTTCTGAAACGGAGACATTTCGCTTGATGAAACTTTTCAGCGCTTTTCCTTCTTCTGATTGTCCACTGGAACCGGGTAACAAAGGTTCCTTTCGACGCTCGAATTCGTCCAGCAGCTTTGACTGTCAAGCGCAACCGTTAAATCCGCATCGAGTCTACCCTCGAGTGCAGTTACGAATCCAGAATGCGCAATATGATTGCGACTTTTATGGTGGTAAGCTCCAACCGGTATTATCCTCGGATTAAATCCCGATCAAGAATGTCCGGCTGGTTTGATGTCGACATCAGAGTTAATCAACATAATTCTGAGCAAACATTTTTCAGATCATACAAACAGGGACGGTATTAAAAGTTAATCCGAGTTGGAGCTTACCGCCATTAGAGAATCACATAGAGCATCTCCATACGGAACTTCCATATTTGCCAGTTGTCCACCACCAGATGGAGTAAAAACAGCATGTTGCCAATGAGTACAGAGAGAGGTGAAGCAGATCGTGAAATATTGTTGTATTAGTAAACCAAAAAATCAACGGAAACGCAAGTAGTGACGTCACTAATTGCTTGTATCGTACAGGGGTTTTACTCACACAACTTAACCGATTGCTTCACCTCGGTAATCCAGCTCATTGATGTTAGGCGGCCATGAGAGGTGGTGACTAAAAGGCCATTATATGAACGGCATAACGGGCACGGGGACGGGCGATGGAAAACGAATGGCCAGTGACCCAGACTTCCATATTTGCCAGTTGTCCACCACCAGATGGAGTAAAAACAGCATGTTGCCAATGAGTACAGAGAGAGGTGAAGCAGATCGTGAAATATTGTTGTATTAGTAAACCAAAAAATCAACGGAAACGCAAGTAGTGACGTCACTAATTGCTTGTATCGTACAGGGGTTTTACTCACACAACTTAACCGATTGCTTCACCTCGGTAATCCAGCTCATTGATGTTAGGCGGCCATGAGAGGTGGTGACTAAAAGGCCATTATATGAACGGCATAACGGGCACGGGGACGGGCGATGGAAAACGAATGGCCAGTGACCCAGACTTCCATATTTGCCAGTTGTCCACCACCAGATGGAGTAAAAACAGCATGTTGCCAATGAGTACAGAGAGAGGTGAAGCAGATCGTGAAATATTGTTGTATTAGTAAACCAAAAAATCAACGGAAACGCAAGTAGTGACGTCACTAATTGCTTGTATCGTACAGGGGTTTTACTCACACAACTTAACCGATTGCTTCACCTCGGTAATCCAGCTCATTGATGTTAGGCGGCCATGAGAGGTGGTGACTAAAAGGCCATTATATGAACGGCATAACGGGCACGGGGACGGGCGATGGAAAACGAATGGCCAGTGACCCAGACCCAGACCCAGATCAAAGGATCAATTATCCTTGCAATTATCAAACAACCATCGAGTTAAACGGTCGACGGTTTTTTTACATTTTGCATGAAAATATGAAACTGGGTAGAATTTACATTATCTTGAGTAAAAATAAACGAGCGTGTAGCTGTAAGCTTCCTTATCATCATCACGTCATCATCGTATCAACAACCATCATCATACTGTCAAATTCCGATGGGAAAAGCATGCTTCTCATTAAATTTATATTAATTTACTTCAAAAACACCGGAAAAAAGTATTCTCAAAGTTAAGTTCGAAACGAGTGCATTCAAGCCACGATGGACGGCCTAAACCAGTACGATGCATTCATATCCGTCCACAAGCCGCAGCTGCAGGCATCGGGCGTACCGGAACACTTTTGGCCGCAGTTGTTCCGCAAGCTGAAGCACCAGGAATTCGACGCCGGCAGCAGCTTCTCCCTACTCCTGGTGGACTACGGCGAGGAACAGCGTTCCGAGGAGGAACCCATCTGGACGGTGGCCGTGGTCAAGGAGGGTGGAATTCAGGCCAACGATCCAACGGAGATCTATCTGGTCGACCATGCGTGGACCTTCAGGGCGGACAATGCCCGGCAATTGCTGAACGAACATCCACCGCTGGTCAACCGACTGGCCATCATGATGGGAATCGATCAGGAGGCTCTGCCAAGCTCGGTGATCGTTTCCAAGATTCTGAACGACGTTTGGAAGTGGTGCAACATGTACTCGCTGAATGGGGAAGGGCTGACCGTGGAGAACCGGATGCCTATCTGGTACGTTATGGACGAGCTGGGCAGTGGAATTTTGCATAGCAACAGTCCGAACTGCCGAGTGGTGCCTTTCATTCACGTCACGGAACAGATGACCTACAGTTTGCTGTTTCCCATAGAAGATTTGGAAGAAGGAGATCAGCTGTACCGGGATTTCGTGGAAGGAGTTCCCAGTGATTGCAAGGAACGTGATGCCCTGTTGCTTCCGTGGCATTATACTTCTCTGGCGGAGGAAAGTTACACCCAGAAGGAGGCTGCCAAGGAGTACTTCCTGGCGGGACATATCGAGGAATCGCTTCCCGATCCGGATGTTGCCCCACCGCTGTTCGATGGTAACAGTCCGCTGAAGGTCTATTCCGAGTACGATATGGTCAATCAATATCTAACGGACCCGGGATTTGAGATTGTGCAGAGCCCGGAAGAGGCGGACATTCTTTGGTTGACGTCCCATTTCAAGCAGTACAAAGAATTCAGCGAGTCCACGCCGAATAAGTACGTCAATCAGTTCCCGTTCGAGAATGTGATCACCATCAAGGACCTTCTCAGCATTGTGTGCAGACGGATGGCCAGAAAGGGTGACCAGGATTCGTTGGAAGCCAATCCCCAATGGCTGCCAGTGACGTACAATTTGAAAACCGAATTGGTTGAATTTGTCAGTTACTATCAGAACCGTGCCCACAAGGGGCTGGACAATCACTACATCGTGAAACCTTGGAATCTGGCCCGTGGCTTGGATATGTATATTACTAAGAGCTTGACTCAGATTATGCGGCTTCAGCAAACCGGACCGAAGATTGTGCAAAAGTACATCGAAAATCCGGTCCTGTTCGAGCGTCCGGAAGTGGAGGGTCGCGTCAAGTTCGATATTCGGTACGTGATCCTGCTGAAAAGCGTCGATGAGCTGTCGGCCTACGTCTACACCAACTTCTTCCTTCGTTTTGCGAACAAACCGTTCGAGTTGAGCGGTTTCGACGACTACGAGAAGCATTTCACCGTGATGAACTACTCGCAGTTCCAGCTGAGGCACATGAAGTGCGAGGAATTCCTGGAACGGTGGAAGGTGCAATATCCCAAACATCCGTGGGATTCGGTCGAGGCGGACATTTGCGACATGCTGAAGGAGGTGCTGCAGGGGGCGACCAAAGTGGGTCCACCGTGCGGAATCGGAGCCAGTGCTCAGTCCCGGGCGTTGTATGCCGTGGATTTGATGCTGGAATGGGCGGACGGAGGAGCAACTATCCAACCGAAGGTGCTGGAGGTGAACTTTACTCCGGACTGCAAGCGGGCCTGTGAGTACTATCCGGACTTTTACAACGATGTGTTCAATGTGCTGTTTCTGGATCAGGAGAATCCGGACGTGCTGCGGAAGATCGTTTGAGTTGGATGAGGAAGGAATAAAGGGCGAGTTTTGTTTGCCATGAGGAAGATGTTTAGATGTTTCTATTGATATCCGAATTGCTCCTTGCCGGCTCAGTCAGTCAGTCTGTCATTTGTCTAAGGCTTTCAATTTCAACAATAGAATTTGATGAGTAAGTTCCTTTTTTTTTCATATATTTCCGTTCCTTTATCATAATTGAATGGATGCTTTACGCAAGGATTACTAAATATTTTGTAGAATAATATTATGGTGTAGAATGAATAGGTCAACTCATTACAGCAATGCAAAATAAACAATCAGAAAGTATAAATTTTGTTCGGCATTTTCCCCCTGTGAAACACTACATTAAGTTACTAAAATATGGAATCGAATGACGATTATCCAATCACTTGTCTGACAAATCACATTTTTGGAATCTCCACTATAGTTTTCCCACAATCAAGCACAACTGCATTGTTATCTGGTAAAGTGATAATGTTAATAATTGATTCGAATACTTAATTGTAGCACACGCTCAATCCAGCTGGTTCTCTCCGGGAGAACCAGCCATCAAGTCCGCCGCCCCTGCTCCGCTCGGTAGCTCCGAGGTCGTTCCCCTGTACACATCCTCGTTGACTAGCCGCTGCCGCTCGATGTACATCGAGACCTTCATGTTGCGCAACTGGTGATTGTTGATAAGCTTCAGCAGGGCAAACACCGACAGACCCACCCAAGTGGCAAACGATGCCCAGGCCCCGAACTGGGCCGTGCCCATTTCAATGTAAAACCCGGACGTTTGAATATTCAGCTCGACGGTGGTGATGTTCTGGCCGTCGGCCACCTCGCAACTGTAAAAAAATTTAAGAATTAAGCATCAACTTCCACAACAACCGCAAGCTCCACTTACGAGGGGAAACGTTCGGTCATATCTCCGCACCAGGTCATGAACCCAAGCGTGATGATAATCGCAGCAATGACCGTCATTGCACACAGACTAACACTGAAAACCACATCGAAGAACAGCGCCAGGAAGGAACTCTCCAGCTCACGGTACACCAGAATGGCCAAGCTGAAACGGTTCCAGTTAATCCAGAAACTTTCGCTTACAGCAACAAACTCACCGATAGATCTGCAATCCGGAGATGATGAACAGGGCCACTCCCACCAGGATCGGGTAGTTGCAGTAAGCCTCCGAGGCCCACCTCACGTCGAACAGTCCATCCTTCTCCTGCCACGTTCCGGTGGCAAAGAGCAAACAGTGGCCACTGTGGAAAAGTCCCGTTTCAGGCGGCTCAAATTAACATTTTTATTGCGACTTACTTGAACGAATGGACATGGACCGACAGGGGGATGAACATACACAGCGACAGGATCAGGCCGATGACATGGCCGGCCACCTGGCTAAGGATGAGCACATTGGACAGAGCCATTGGGCGAGACTCGTTTTCGGTCGGGCACTACAGGTTTTGTTGATGAACGACAATTTTTTACAAAGAACAAAACGGCAGAATATTTTTAGCTGTTTTTTGCGAGACTTTTATGTTTTGTTTACGAAATGACACTGATAGTTGATGACAGCTGTCTCGTCCTGTGTCAATTTAGCTATATGGGAGGAGTCTCAAGTTTTCGGCCTTTACTGTACCACTTACCGGATGAAGGGTTGGCAGTTTTCCGTTTTCTTTAACACGAGAGAAACTGTTTTAGCAAGTTTTGTTCTCACTTTCTGAAGTTTCTCGAAATAATAATAAAAAAAGCAGTTCTACAATGAGCATTCATAAGGGCGTACACGCGATGATCGATTCTCTTCGTCGATTTTCTCTTTTGCTAATAACTCGCTAGATTTAACGTTTCTCGGGGCGTTTGCTGTTGCTTTTGATAGCCAATACAACCTGTTACAACTCTGCATTGATCAAATTCTAGAAAATTGTTTTGCTTAGCTGTAGCAATGCAAAGAGAAAATCGATGAAGAGAATCGATCATCGCGTATACGCCCTTATGCATGCTCACTGTCGAGTTTTCCACATGCCAACCCTAATAAAATTTGTAGTGTTATTTTGTTTCACGACGTGTTTTGGGGTATCATCCAAACAATTTGAGGAAAAGTTCGACAATTTGGCTTATCGTTCGTTTATGGTATTTGTGTATAAGGGAAATAACGTGCTTTGGACATACATAGAATGCAATACACATTAAGATTTCCGTCTTATAAGAGCGTTCCGTTGGAAGGAGATTCTCTATTCCTACAGTGGATATCGTGTAAGTGCATCAGCTTACAGGTCCACACCTCCGTTTTTGGCCCTTCACACAACGGAACAGTAAAGATTGCAGGGTTGCATAGTTTGACCTTGCCATTAAGAGGAACCGTACGTGGTGGCTTCTAATCACATCACATCACATTAGGGAAATAACGTGTTTTGGGTTTTATAGCAGTCTTTGAATGTTTGGATTTTCAATAACTGCCGGATCTGCGAATACACTCAAAGCTTTCGTAGTAACAGATTTTACCAAGATCATATATCAGTGATCATAATGATTTCTAATGAAATTTACTACCCACTTGAAACCAACGTTACCAAATTCTTTGAACATTCTCAAAAGTTGGATGCGCCTATCGATATTTATAACACGGCATGTTGCCACAAACATATCTGGGTTATGTCAATTCACAGCTAATCGATTATTCCTACACGGATAGAAATCGCCTTAAACCTTTTGGTAAATTTCTATTGCTGATTATTCATAAAATGTATAAGTCAAGCAGACGCCTTGCAAAAAGTTAAGGGGGTATTCCCGATCTTTTTTTTCAAAAAATCAAATTTTTGTTTTTCACGTTTTTTTGTACTTTAGACTATATACTTTCATCCCCCCAAGCCGTTTTCCGATCAGCGAATTCGGTGTCCAGGCATAGCTGACTAATGGTAAGAACCCCCAAATGGTTTTAACTAAAGTCAAAGCTTTAAACATCTAATCTCTTAATTAATTAAGAGATATTGACTTGAATCTTTGCGCATTTTGTTCCTTATTAAATTTTTTGGAGCTTCTCCCACTTTCAGCCAAAAATATTAACATTTAACATTGTTTGAAGCACATTAAAGCTGCAAAAAAGCGGGCTAAAAATCGCCTGTTTTTTCATATGGCCGCCATTTTGTTAATTTGCAAGATTTTTTGCTGCCAACGGGAGAAGCTCCAGAGAATCTTATGCAGATTATAATTTCATCACGAAATCTGTTTCAGATGAAGCCGTTCCAGAGAAAAGTCTTCGCCCGTCCAGGCGTTTGCGGCGAACAGGGGTCTGTTTGCCACCATTTTGTGACGTCAATAATGTCTTTTTTTATGTCGAAAAAAATTTATTTGTAAACTTTAATGTTCAATAAACAAGAATCCCAAAGAGTTAGGCGCATTACTATTCATTTTCCTTGAAAAAAAATTAATTGAAAAACAGGCCGAAAAAAGGCAAAAGATTGGGAATACCCCCTTAATGAAGATCATGTGTCAAATGAAATGTATAAGCGGTCACACATACCTTTTATGCATTCTTATAGGACCTATGTGGTGTGTCTTATGGAATGTATAAGCTATAAGGCTGATGTTTTGGCAAAAATGTATAAGCACAGACTAACAGACATACCGCATTGAATATTTCTCACTGTAAAACGTCGTCGCTAAAACATTACCGCCCTGTTGAGCAAACTGTGGTGGCCACTACGCTGAACAGATGGCGGTAGTGTGTAAACGTCAAACGCAAGGGAATTGACTATGCGCGCCACAGGTAGCGGTACTACCAACTACGATACTTTTAAATTGTCCGTTAAATGCTTATTCGATGAACAACTTTCGAGTGTTATGTCTGTTTGACTGTGGTATAAGTAAAACACATGAATAACATAATTGATTTTCGTTTCGTGTATGCCACACAAGCACAAACAAAGTTGCAGACGGAGCGGCTCGAAAAATTTGGTGACGAACCTGCTATTACCACAAACGAAGTGACAGACGACTTACTGGTGAAGAAATCCATTTAAATAATGTGGTTCACTGTAATAGAATTTTCTTGGAAGCTTGTGCCATCATCCACCAGATGGGTTAGTTTTTTTTGTTTTGATTTGAACAAAGTTGATTTTGTGTACAATGATTCTTTGACAGTGTGCAAAGAGTGCGTTTCATTTTGTCATTTTTTTATGCATTTCAGTTTTGAGTAGAGTGAAAGAGATAGAACCAAAACATTCTAGTACATTTGGTGAAAATGCTAGTTCAATCCAGTAGTAGTGTTGCCATGTGGTACAATCCAGTAGTAGTGGTGTTGCCATGTGGTACACTGAAAAATTGCAATAGAAGGTTAGTCACCAAAGTTTTCGAGCCGCTCCGTCTGTCACTTCGTTTGTGCTATTACATAATAGAATTTTCTTAGAAGCTTGTGCCATCAGCCACCAGAAGGACTAGTATTTTTGTTTTGATTTGAACATAGTTCATTTTGTGTGCAATATGATCTTTGACAGTGTGCAAAGCACAAACGAAGTGACAGGCGGAGCGGCTTGAAAACTTTGGTGACTAACCTGCTGTTAGTTAGTTCGTTTAGGTCAATTTCTTAATTCTAAATTTGTATAAATACCATTGCTTAAAAGTAAACTCATCACTAGATACATGCCCTTAAAAGTATTTATATTAAAAATCCTTTTCGCACCGCCCTATTACCTGTAAAACTTGTAGCCTCATATACTCTCACTGACCCGGGATATCACAATAGCCTATCGGTGATAGCAGACCAACACCAGCTTCTCTGGTTCTCTGGATAGTAGGCAGTAATCTAGAGAAAAGCAGACGGTAGTAGCCGAGATCCGATGTGCGGTATAAGAGGTGAGGACAAAGGAAACTAGTGGACTCTTTCATTCTGACGGTGTTCTTATGCAACAGCAGACGTGACGTCACGTCTGTTACTGCGTAAGAAGACGCGAGAACGAAAGAGTCCACTAGTTTCCTTTCTCCTCACCTCTTATACCGCACATCGGATCGGGATACATAGAGAAGACAGTTGATCTCCACCCGGTCACCGATCTGGACGTACACACGTTGCTATCGGTCGTACAATATAGGTCGTACAATATCGTTACGAAGTATAGAAGGCTTTTATTCGGTGGAAGAAAGACTCGGTCCGTTTGCATTCTCTTGGTGCCCACAAGATTGCCGTGTCGGCGCAGTCGCGAGTTTCCCGCGAGTGTCCGCGAGTTTCTTCATTTCTCGTATCGAACATGGTCCTTCGAGCCGGATACTGGACCAAAGTGCTAGTGCCAAAGTGACGCTGAGAAAAGCCATTTTGCGGCTGGCCTGTGACCAGTAAATGGAACAATAGTTCGCCGGTAATAGTGAAGCACAAAGAAGCCAAACGGGCTTTGTGGTTCAGAAAATTGAGCGCTGTAAAACGGTTGTTAAAGCGCCAAGAACGCACCAGTGAATTTGTTCGCCTTGGGCGATTGTGTACTGATTGTGAACAATCGCGAAAAAATTGAAAGTTCGATTGTGGCATTGTGAAAATTCTCCGAACTATCTGGAGAGCGATTTTTTCTTGCTATGTGCAATAAGTGCCGTGATTAATTACCACCGCGTGGCGAAGAATATTTAATCCTGGTGATTGATCACGTGGCCAACTATTGGCGAAGACCTAACTGCGGTGAAAAGGGCTAACGAGCCGAAGATAATAGCTGTTGATCGAGCCAGCGATAGCAGCCCTAATAAAAATTGTATGGTTAATTTGCTTAACGACGTGTTCTGGGTATCATCCAAACCATTTGTGGAATAGTTCAATGATTTGGGTTATCGTTCGTTTATGGTTATTTTTTATTAGGGAGAGTCATCAGTTGGTGTAAACCGGCGAAAACTCTGCACATCGTCGCAAGGAAACCCCCGAGTAGTGCCGTCGGCATTTCGATAATATTTTCATCGCTCTCAAATACCATGGTGGGTTCGTTCCTTTTGTATTCCGTTGATATTTTGTGGTGTGTCGGTGTCGATTGGTGGTCACTTGAGGTATGGCCATGTCGAAAGAAGCAATGGAGGCCAAGAGGTTGGAGTACGATGTCCGAGGAAACTACCTCATCTCTTCGGTGGCTGCGATCGAAACTTTTCTCGAATCGTACGATGCTAATTTGCATGCGGGTCAGGTACAGGTCAGGTTGGAAAAATTGGAGTGCTTCTACAATCAGTACGTTGAGGTGATCATTCAGCTCCAGTTACTGCCGTCCTCGGAACCAGCAGTCGAGTACGAGACGCAGCTGTTCAGGTTTGAAGCTCAGTACTACGAGCTGAAGGCGCAGTTGGCTCGTTTGTTGGAACGGAAGCCGCTTAATGTTCCGTCGACGTCTCGGAGAAATACTCCCCTCACCAACCATATCAAGTACCCCGAATTGAAGCTTCCAGAATTTTCAGGAAATCCTCTCGGATGGCGTTCATTTCACGATTTGTACAACGCTGCTGTTCATTCGTCTGGCGAATTGAGTTCTTCGGAGAAATTCCAGTACCTGAA